ATTTTGTGTTTACTTGTGTTATCTTTGTCTAATATTTAAATTTGTTTGATGATCTGAAACATTTAAGCGTGACAAATAAGAAATCAGGAAGGGGGCAAACACTTTTTCACACAACTGTAAGTTGCTAAAACGATGTTGGTCCACAGATTCTTAATTTTTTAGCGACCACATCTGCTGGCTTTTCCCAGATTCCCCCACTGATAAAAGCAGTGAGATGTGACTAAAAAACGCGAACACGTGGACCATCAAATAAGATTTGTCAAAGAAATGTGTTATCTTGCTGTTGATTTTGCCGTAAGAGATGTTTTTATGTGCTGTTAATGCAAAAAGCTTCTTTCGCTATTTCGCCAATTTTTTTGATGTTGTGAAACTGCAATATTGAAACAAGGTATTCTGAGCCACAACTGTAGACAGTCTGAATGACACTCAGTATATTATTTCTAATTTCAACTTTAAATCACATTTGTATAGCTCCACATACTGGAAAGTCTTCAGATATGGCGCTGATAACTAATCATATCAATGGTTCATTAAGAATGTTATATTAATAAACCCAAAACAGAATTGTAACCCAACAGATTTTGGGCCTACATAATTACTTCATAGAAATACAGTGGTCTTGGGAACTTGCCATAAAACCTTTGTAAGCACTGGATAAGTAAATGATCAACATTTGCACACTCATAGAAGGAGAATAACATTTCACTCAGTGGAAGAGTAGACTGTGTGTGTGAGTGTGTTTGTGCGTGAGAGACTGTAAATCATGAGGCCAAAAGGTTGAAAATGACAAAGGTTAATGAAGCGTATATGTGCCAGCTGGAGGACATTTAGGATATGTGTAAGGAATACTTGAATTCATTCTGCCGACGCAGTACCGTAAATACTCCAAGATAGAATATTAATGAAATTAGCTTCATACTTTCCATTTCACACAGTCACCCAGTAATTGGATTGTGACTCATCGCTATAAATCTATGACTAGTTTCCCACCCTGCAATAAATAGATTTGTTTTGTTGTTGTCAGACAGTGTTCAGATTGGAAAAGTGTTCAAAAAGTGGAACAATAAAAAGAGCCTGAGATTTAATCTCTTTGGGGCAAGTACATTTTCTAGCTTTGCCGTTACACCGACTTCAATGATTCAGTGCAAGTAAATAAACTGGTTTCAGCCAATTTCTGTTTATTTTGAATTCTGAGAAAAAAACAACTTGCAAACAAAGAACGATACACCTGAGGTTCCAGTTTTGAACTTACTGGGATTGACAGAGCTAGCAGAAACCCAGGAGCTATCTCACTAGCTCGTAATTGAAGCCAATTGTACATAAGTAATCGGCGACAATGAGAGTGTCAGTTCCCATTTATCCCATACACTAACCCCATGTTTGTCAGCGACTCTATGTTTCAGAACTCCTGTTGAAGCATTCGAGTATATTCCCTTTTTACTGAAAGCCCTTTTGCCTTTTGTCTTTTTCTCGCCACTATGAATATCCTGTGACTCTCAGGGAAAGGAAATTGAGGACAGATCACTTTGAAAAAACACTCCTTTACAACACATCTTATTTATTGATTATATGTGTGTGATGAAAAACAATATATGTACTTTAACAATAATAGGATTATATTAGTTATTTTGTTCGAATACTCCCCAAAGCTACAGAAGCAATTGTGGACTTTATCACATCCGTATCAGTAGGGACGGCAGGAAAAGGAAAAGTGCACTTAAACCAGAGATACTGAGTCTCATAATTGAAGCCAAAGGGCAGTCAAAGCAGGTCTAGCCAGGAGAGGGTAAAGTATTCACACGAGGTTGATAAATGTCAGTAGTAAACATGTGCTGGACCGGCTAAAGGTCTCAACAGCTCCTGCCGTCACTGCCAACCCCTTGGCAAAAAAAGTAACAAGGCTGGAACCCAGAGAAAACTTATAGAATCTGTTCACCCACAACATTTAATTGAGGTGCTCAAAACAAAGGTTATGATATTGTACCCCTACTTCCATTAGCACAGGTGGAGCCCTTTACTAGACTCTATGGGTAATACTCTCCTCCAATCACAAGCACGCTTTCGCAGTCTGAAAATGTACATAACAATCAGGACGTTTCTACCCAAATACATGCAGACCCCACAGTATATAAAGCAGCTTACAATGCTGTCTGCCATCCTCTACCCTCTTCAGCCAATGGCGTAAGATCAACAGGGCCCCT